GGCAAAACCCTCCAACCCTCCATGACATTGAAGCTAATGGTATCTTCAAAGATGTCACTATAAGATTTTAAACAAAGAAGTAATGCTGTCTTTTTTTTACCAAACCATCAGTGTAGATAATGGATTAAAGGAGGCCAGCCTGGAGGCAGAAGGATCAATTAGAAGGTGACAGTGAAGGGACTGGACATACAGTACAGTGTGTGTGTGTGTGTGTGTGTGTGTGTGTGTGTGTGTGTGTGGTGGGAGGCATTAGCCTTGCATGAGGGAGAGCCTGATTAAATCATCAGTATCCCATATGGTCCCCCTGAGCACCATCAAGAGTAATTCCTGAGTGCAGAACCAGGAGAAACCCCTGAGCATCACCAGGTGTGACCCAAAAACAAAACCAAAAGGTGATATGGCAATAGTCCAGGCAATAAGTGATGAAAACCTGACTAAGGCTATGACAACAGGAACAAGGAGGAGAAATTAAACTAAGAAAACATGTTTAGGAAACAGAACTGACAGGTCTTTGTGATTAACTGCACCTACAGTGAGAGAGAGGGTGGGGTTTGTGAAACCTTCCATTCTTCTGGTTTAGACATTTATTGGCTGGTGGAGACATCAGATTGACAGAGGCAGAGAGAGGCAGTGCTATGGCAAAAAAGGCTTATTTTGAGTGCTACAGCAGAGACCAGCTAGAGGGTCATCCTGGAACTCCAGAGAGAGTCCTGGGCTGGATGTGAAGTGGTAGGAGTCATTGGAATATTGCTGTGGGTGGGTTCATTGGTTTGAAAAAGGCAAAGAGAATGCCTGAGAATGGAGTGGGCAGGAGAATGAACCCTGGGGACATTGGACCCACAGGAACATATATGAGATTAACTGGAAGATGAGTCTGAGGAGGAAGAAACAGGTAGAGAGGAAGCCAAAGGGATACCAGGAAGTCGATAAGGGTGTGGAAAGAACATGATCAGCGCAAATGTCAGAAAATTAGAACAAATGACAAAGAATGATAAGGAAAGGAAAATATCCATTGTAGTGGAGAATTTAAATGTAATTGTTGGCCTCTGGAAAGATGTTTCAACAGTGTCTTGGGGTGGGGTTGAAAATAAACTCAAGTCAAATGGTGGCAGATTGAATCAGGTGTGGACGTGTGGATTGGGAAAGTATATGAACTCTTCCAAGAAATTTAACTTTGAAGGGAGGGCATGGGGCTAGCAATTAAAGAGCAAAGTTCTTCAGAGAAGCTATTTTCCTAAAGTCATATGATAACTAAAGAGAGGGTAGAACATACTCCTGTGTCTAGAAGAAGTCAGAGTGAGGGAGAGGGTTTGAGCAAGGCTTCTGAAAAGGCAGAAGTGATCAGAAGTACTCCTGAAGGAACAGACCCGGTTTACCCCTCTTTCTTAGCATCAAAGGTAGAGTATACCCAAAACTCTTTTTTTTAAATAGGGGTGAAGGGGTCTTAGGAGGCCCCAATTGGCTAACTGGGCTCATGGTTGATAAAAACATGCAGTGTTGCAGTGTTGCTTGGTCTGGAGGTGCTGGGGATTATATGGGCCACCCTATGGTGCTTGAGAGTCTCAACGCCCACACCTAACCATACTCGGGGGCCACCAGAGCTCTATGTAGTGATAACTGGAGGACCCTGTAGTGCTGGTGACTGAGCCTGCATCAACTGAATGCCTTGCTGGTGCCTTAACTTCTGTACTATCTCTCTGGCACCCAAAATTAGTTTAAAAGACAGATCAAGTAAACTGGGTAGAGAATTCTTATAATTTAAAAAAATTTCCTGTCATAGTAATCTTGATGTGGGAGGCATCCTTGCATTCTGTAATAATTCATTAAATCACTCCTCTGATCAATAACCAATAATCAACAATGCTCTATTTTTTACAGAGCATAAGAGTAGAAACTAATGCAAGTTCTTGTGCTAAAATCTCGATCTCCAGCCTGTTTTCACTGTAGCTGCCTTCTCCAGCTAGGCCACAGGGCTGGCTTGTCTCCAACAGGAAAATATTCTCCTGTCTCCAGACACTGCCCTTACTCTGCTGCCTGAAATGTTCTTTCTTGACCACTCTTTGTGGCTAGCTCCTTCTCAACCTTTGAGTCTCTGTCCAAATGTCAACTCCATCTCCTTTGATGAAAGTGGATCTACATCAAGCCCTTCTGGTGAGCAATCATGATACAAAGCACTGAGAACGTCTCTGTACTCATTGTTCTCCTCTCCTCCTACCAGAATGGAAACTCCAGGAAGTATATATCAGATCTGTCCTTTCTCCTTGCTCCCAAGGTCTAACACAGTGCCTTACAAACATTTTATGAACAGCTTCTCAAACCTTATCTTAAATCCCATCCCACCTCCATAGAGAAAAACAGCTTATAAGGATAGAGGGTTTACCTTTGTTCCAGTGATTATATCTATTATCTTATTGAGCTCCCCTTCCCCATTTACCTCCTAGAGGTAAGAACTCACACTGAGATATATTATCCAGACCACATATTCCATACAGAACCCAAATTCACCACTTGCTTGGCTATTTAGTATATTGCATACATCACTTTTTTTGATACAATGAAATCAAAATTCTTAGGCCCCACCCAACTTAGAGTAAATAGTGTTCATTGAGTGACTGCTGTTGGTATCCCAGATTTACCACACTAACCAAAAAAAGTTATCTTTCTTATTAAGCTCAAAGAGAAAATCTAACCCAATTGGCAAGTGCACAAACATCACTCTACCTGCACAATGTCAAAAATGACGATGGTGTGAGAGTTTGAACTTGGCATTTAATTTCTCTGATTATTTTTTAGGAAGATCAGGCTAAATCTTAACTTTCTAGAGAACATTGTCTCATCCGCCCATAAATGCTTGCAAAACCATCACTTAATCACTTAATCACTTAACTTCCTGTTAGTCGTCGATTTGCTCGAGCAGGTGCCAGTAACGTCTCCATTTGTCCCTGTCACGTGCTAGTGTAGCCCAATGGCATCTGTTCGCTCCGGGAACATGAAGAGCCTCAAACCGATGGTTCATGATCTTGACGAAGAAGTCTGACCATCTGGTAGGTGGGCGGCCACGCAGTCTCTTGACATCCCATGGAATCCAATCAGTAACAGCTCTAGTCCAACGGTTGTCTTTAAATCTCATTACGTGACCAGCCCAAAACCATATTATTTCATATTGAGAAATTCCAAGGGTCCCAGAATTTAAAATTGACTCCTGACTAGGTTTTGAAATCTCTGCTTTGCAGTGCAAAGAACTGACCAACTGAAAAGCCTGCCAGTGTTTGTAACTCCAGTCAACGCACTGCACATCTCATGATGGTGAGTTGGGGGAACCCAGAATCTATCTTGGAAATTAGGGAAGAAGAGCCTCCCCAAGTCCTCTAGTGGTTTCTATAGTCTGGAAACACTGCCACCTCATCCCTGGAGTGTCAGTTCTGATCAAGAAATCAGCCCCTTTAACTCCAAGAAGTCCTCCCTTTATTCCAAAAGGTGACTGAAAGGCAGTCAGCTGAGCTCAGCCACCTGGGTGTGGCTTTCCCCAAGGTTGGCAGTAAGCCTAGCATCCCCAAGGGTTCTTGACTGCAGGACTCTACCTAGAGAGCCCCAAGAGTCATTCCTGAAATTGTCTCCGACGCTGAGTCCACCCAATAATGATTTTCAGATGTGCACAGTCCAAAAAATGTCACCCAACCTGTCTCTCCCCTCGGACAGGTCAGCAGAAAACAGGTTTTTGTGGGCTCTCCCACTGGTGTGTTTTCTCCAAGACAAACTTGGTCCTTACAAGGGAGGGTGTCTTCTAAAAAGTCTTAACTCCACACACACACAACTCCTCATCACAGACGAATCTGGATAATGCTCTACTGTGTTTTTCAGCTTCTTCAGTAGCTAGGGGTTGTAATTAAATGCCATCGTTCGAATGACACACATTTTCCACCCCAGCTGCTTCAAGTTTGTGTTCTGCTAAAGAGTTTAGCAATCATCTCTTTGGTCACTACTTGCCTGCCACCCCCACGAATTGCCCACCAGGGTGACTGGTACTCCTTCTGCCCTTTTAGAGTCCGTGAATTGGGGGAAATACTTGCTGTTCTGAGTTAATGGCATGCCACATTTTGTTTATTTATTTATGGGAGTGGAAAGTGGCTATCTTTTCTCACCTCAAATTAGGACTCTGGTGGATAATCACCATCAAGATGGCCGCAATTGACCCAAACGTCGGCTTTTCAAAGTTAGCCTCCAGATCCCAGAGCATGCACTAAGAAAATAAAATTTGTCTAATCTGGTAGGGCAAGCAGTGGGCAGTGCCGAGCGCTCCCATTCGCTCCAGAGCTCACATTGTAGATGCATTATCTCCAAGTGTAGAGTCTCAGTGTGGGTGTTAGATCACTTATCAAGTACAAGTAAACTTTCAAACTGTGCACAACGGAATCCTACTTGTTTTGCTCGTTTAATAGATACTAAGAACCCACTCCCCCTTTAAGAAAAAAGTGGACAAGTCAGTCCGAACACTTGGGAGGCCTCAGGTCTGGCCCAGCGTCCCATCAGGAAGCGGCGACGGGATGAAAAGGGACGTGGAGGACTGGATTTGGGCAGCAGTAACTTTAGGGTCAGTTCCCAGGATTTGAAACTCCTGGCTGCTTAAGGCTACAGGATGCAGCCACCGCCTGACTCGGGCTCCGCGCCGCCCAAGCTCCCACAGAGAGAGCGTGGGGCGGAGCCACAAAAGGGGCGGGGTAAGGGGCGTGGCCTCGCTGTGAGGAGGCGGGTCCGGGGCGGGGCCTCGCGAATAAGGAGACGGTGCTGGGGTGGGGCGGGGCCTCGCGAGCGGGGAGGCGGGGCCTGGGCGGGATGGGGCGGGGCCTCGCCGGGGACACGTGGGTTCCGTCGCGCGCTGCGGGGCGGGGTCTGGCCCCCGGAACTCCGGTCGCCGGAAGGGCTGCGCCTGCGCGTCTGCGGATGCGCTGGCTGGCGGCGCGGGCGTTCCGGGAGGGCCTGGGAACCGGTCTGATTTTTTTCTGTTTCCGTTTTCCTTCATTTCTCGGTCTCCTCCGGAAAAGCCGGAAGGTGCTGGGGCCCGGGCTACGGCCAGACCCGCCTACTCTGCCCCAGCACGTTTGTGCCTGCGCGGGAACTTGTGCTTCCCCGGACTCGACCCACTAAAGCGGTTTCGGGGTACGCCTGTGTGTGCAAAGCTCCCCCGAGTGGAAAAGTTGGTGTTTTAGCCCTTTTGAAGTGGCACTTTGGGGAGAGCAGAAACACCCCCGTGGGCGGGGCGGAGGAAATGCCAGGGGCAAAGCCACAGGGATCTCACAGGTCCCCCAGACCGTGGAACGAACATTTCAGCTTCCGAGCCCCCGTGGCGTGGAGTTGGACTAGGCCCTGGGTCCTCGGCCTTAGCCCTCCCGGAGTTCTGGGTGTTCCCGTGAGAATAGCTTCCTGGCCCCTGTCAGTTTCTCCCTTAACCGCCCCGCATCTTGACGTTTTTGTGTGTCCCATCTAGATCTGCTCACTGATGCTCTCGGTTGGCTGACGCCACAGCCTAGTCTCCTGATGGAGCCTGAATCCAGTAGGTGTGAAGAGGAGCCCCCTTCCCTCTTCTGGGGTTTGGATCCTGTGTTTTTAGCCTTTGCAAAACTCTACATCCGGGATATCCTGGACTTGAAAGAGTCCCGCCAGGTGCGAGGTATGTGCTGAGTACCCGGAGAATGCCTTGTGCCGCATCCGCCCTACATCTGCTCCTAATCCTGACTGCAGATTCCTTGCTACAGATAAAATGACCTCACCTGTCCCCACCCATGAGTTCATGCCCCTTTAAAGCATTGCAAATTTTTACTTGGAGTACTGACTGCCAGGAGTATCCTTTGAGCATCACCAGATGTGGCCCAACCCCGCCACCCCCGCAAAAAAAGGGTGGCTTAATTAACATAGATCAGTGTAGTAGTTTTGGTTGTACAACATAGAGTGATATTTGCATGCGATATAAGATGATGCCTTGTAGCATCTTCGCAACTTTTCAAAATTTTTGTACTAGTTTAATGCCTGTGGATCTCATACTGTATACACAAAATCTCTGTGATTTACTTGATAACTGAAACTTTTTGGTTTTGGTTTGGGAACACACAGGCTATACAATATCTCCAGCCCCTTTATGACTGGAATATTGTACTTCTTGATACCCTTGATCTTTTTCCCTTTCTCAAACCCCTCTTCACTGTCACTGTCCTCCCATTGTTCATCGATTTGCTCCAGCGGGCCCAGTAACATTGTGAGACTTGTTACTGTGTTTGGCATATCGAATACGTCATGGGTAGCTTGCCAGGCTTTACTGTGCAGGCGAAATACTCTCTGTAGCTTGCCCGGCTCTCCGAGAGGGGCGGAGGAATCGAACTTGGGTTGGCCATGTTGGCTGCGTGCAAGGCAAACGCCCTACCTGCTATGCTATCACTCCAGCATACCCATCCTATTTTCTGTGTCAGTGAGCTTACTTTTGTTATTTTTGTTTAGTTTTTCAGATTCTACATATAGGCAAAATCACCCAGCATTTGTCTTTCTCTATCTGGTTTATTTCACTGAGCATAATATCGTCAACAATGGTAAGATTTTAATCTCTGGGCCTGTGTCGTCCATTTGAGAGGTGGAGAGTTTAGGCCACACCTGGCTGCTGTTTTTCATGCAGACACAAATACCACATCTTCTATATCTTTTTAACTTTTCGTTGAATGGAGTACCTTTGTACGAGGAACTATTTTTATCTACTTCCAGAGGTTTTTCATATTTAACAATATTCAGTTATTTTTCTGGACCCAATGAAGGCCTATAAAAGATGTGGTATTTGTGTCTGAATGAAAAACAACAGCCAGGTGTGGCCTAAACTCCCCACCTCTCAAATGGATGACACAGGACCAGAGATTAAAATCTTACCATTGTTGACCCGAGGTGGAAAGTTCATTGGATCTAGCACCCCAATGTCCTGCTCCCCCTCCTTCAAAAGCATGCCTCTTATCTAGCCTGGACAGGTGACTCAACCTTTTGTAAAGCTTAGATATTGGGGTGTGTTTTTTCCCGCCTGAAAATAGCAGTTCACTATGCCTGATTTTCTTGTGGGGACTTGTTTTGGTTTTTCATTTATCAGAATCAACATAATTTCAACCTCTAGAAGGGAAGGCCTTCGCAAGTCTTATTTACCTATGTGATTCTAGTACTGGTGTGCTGTGAGCTCAGTGAAAAACCACTGGTCCCCCTTGGATCCCTGTAAGTGAAACGTTAGGGATCCAAGAGATTAGACAGCAGTTTGACATTCGCCCTACATGCAGCTGACCCCGGATCGGTTCAGTCCTGTGTACCACATAAGGTCCTCCGAGCCCCACCAGAAATGATGGCTGAGCTCAGAGCCAGGAGTATGGTCCCAACATAAGAGAACAAATAAAAATGAAAATTTAATAAATAACTGCTCTGTTTAGAGTAGTGATTACTAAAGATAAACTAGCAATACCAGAAATACAACAAGTATCATTTTGGGCTAGATTGGAATAACTCATAGATACAGCTGGGCCATCACACGTTTCCTGTGCTGTCTAACAAGTTTGGTTCCAGTCTGGTTCTAATGACTGGCAGAGTCAGAGACCATGGTCATCTCCAGCGTATGCATTTGTTCTGAGGGGATCTTTGTGGGTTTCCAATTCTGTGTGCAAATATTTCTAGATGACCTTCAACCAAAGCCTTTTGTACAGATTTTTCACCACACCTTTGTTTCCTAATTATTGTTGGAAAAGGTCTGGTTTTGGGTTTTTGGCTTCCTCCTCTCATTTGGAAGGCAGCCAGCCCCTCCCCTCACAGTTGCATTTTCCAGAAAAGTCTGCTTTTCTTCATAGCTCATGTCCTGGGCAATAAAGTGAATTGCAACGAAGAACTGGCCTCTCCTTTTGGGTGAAGCCCTTTCAGAGGTTTTAACAAACCAAAAAAAAAACTGCTCCCAGTGATCTTTACTATGTCACTGGTTTTAGGGACAGTTTTTCCCGTGAAACCTTAGCAGTTGAGGCAGGAGTCAGTCAAACTTTTTGAGTGATCTTTAGGGTTGGGGCGGGGGGGGGGGGTGAGGGGCGAGGATACCTTTAGTTTAGGTTCTGAATTACCATGTTAACTTTATTACTGTGTTTGGTTTAGTTATCCTAAAGGAAAAAATAGCTTTCCTTGTGACTGCTTAATGTGTATAAAGGTTTAAACAGTAATGAGTATCTTAAAATAACAAAAGTGTATCCTCAAATGATAAACTAAGAAACCAGTGTGTGACTAGGAACTTGGCCGCCCTTTGTCCTAGGTTCTTGGGAGGTGTTTGGGTTTCTGAATGTTTCTGAATGCTGGGAGTGGCCTGGTTGTTCCTGGTGGCCCCTTGAACCACACCTGAATTAATACCAATAAGGTACCTCGTAGCTGACCCCTGGGTAGTTTCAGGGTGGGGACTGTCCATGCCTGAAAGGCCAACCATATGATTCAAGCCGGTTGAAATTTTAAACTAGGTGACTTCAGTCCAATCCCTGGGGACTGAAGCAGGGTTGGAGATTCAGTCCCTGCCAGTGCTGCAGTTAATCCGAGTCCGGAAGCCCCATTTTGTTGGCTCCTGGCTTGGAGGAGGTGGGTCTAGTGGCCCCCGCCCCCATGGTCTAGATGAGTTTACCGGGTTGGTAATCATACCTGCACAGAAGGGGAAGGTGACATGACCTGGAGACACTGGAGCATTGCCCTTGAACTGCCCTTGCCTCATTTGACTGACCTGATTTGAGCCCTTATTATAAAACTATAGTCAGAAGGATAGCCTCCTTCCTGGATTCTTGGTGGTCTTAGCAAAGTATCAGACGTGAGTCTTTGGAACCCCAAGAGATGCAGCCTGTTGGTCAGAAGCTTGGGTGGCTGGAGGACCCTGAGACTGGGACTGGCGGTGACTGCAGTGTGAGCAGTCCAGTGTGAGCTTTTATCTTTCGCTGGCATACTTCACAGACCTGGCACCTGGGGGGTTAGCATCAGAACTACCCAGCAAAATGTCCGAGGCAACCAGGATATACTTGATTGCCCCAAAAGCAACTGGTATTGGCGCAGATGTGGGGAGAAAGGGACTCTCCTTCACTGCTGGTGGGAATACCAACTGGTTGAGCCCTTTTAGAAAACAGTATGGACGCTTCTCAAAAAATTAGAAATTGAGCTCCCATTTGACCCAGCAATACAACTTCTGGGAATATATCCTGGAGAGGCAAAAAAGTATAGTAGAAATGACATCTGTGCTTGTATGTTCATCGCTGCACTGTTTACAATAGCCAGAATCTGGAAAAAAACCCAAGTACGCGAAACAGATGACTGGTTAAAGAAACTCTAGTACATCTACACAATGGAATACTATGCAGCTGTTAGAAAAGATGAAGTCATGAAATTTGCATATAAGTGGATCAACATAGAAAGTGTCAAGTGAAATGAGCCACAAAAAAAGGGACAGACATAGAAAGATTGCACTCATTTGTGGAATATAAAGTAACAGAAAATCAGACTAACACCCAAGAATAGAAGAAATAAGTACCAGGAGGATTGTTCAATGGCTTGAAAGCTGGCCTCATGTGCTGGGGGGAAAAGCAGTTTGGATAGATAAGGGACCACCAAGTAAAGGGTGCTTGGAGGTCCCTCGGGGTGGGAGATGCATTCCGAAAATAGACTATAGACCGAATACGATGGCCACTCATTGCCTCTGTTGCAAACCACAACACCCAAAATGAAAGAGAGCAAAAAGGTATGCCATGCGGGGTTGGGGGGGGGATAAGGTGGGAGTGGGGGAAGGCACACTGGGATCATTGGTCATGGAGAATGGGCACTAGTGGAGGGATGGGTACTGAGCATTGTATGACTGAAACGTAACCACGAAAGTTTGTAAGTCTGTAACTGCACCTCATAGGGATTCATTACAAAAAATAAATAAAATAATGAGAAAGACAAAAAAATCTTGGTTTCCCTAAATTGCATGGGCAGTTTGGGATTGAACTGAAAGAGATGAGCAAGTTTGACTGTGATGCTGCTGGTGGTGTTTAGGTTTCCGTTTGGCTTGATCGTGTGTCTTTCGGTGCCTAGCTCATAGCATACTTCAGGGCCTTTTTATCCTTAGTGTCTATCCACGTCGAACTGTAATGATGTAAGACTAAAGGTGAACTTTTTATTTAAATTGAAAGAGGATTTATTTAATTCTAGAGAGACCAATGAAATAGAAATGATGCAAGATTTCTACTAAATTAGCCTGTGCTTTTATTTGCCCTTAGCTAGTGGTGCTGGCGACCTTGCAGGGCTGGGCATCTCATTCCACCTCCTGCACCCATGCCTTGTGCTCCAGTCCTTTGGACTCTCTCTCTTTCTCTTTCTCTGGCTTTAGACTTTTAGAATATTGTTTTAGCTCCCAAAAGCGAAATAGTATTATAAATTATTGACAAAAAGTGTTTAAAATGAATGAAAGTATTATCTTGATAATTTAAACGCTATCAACTTTCAGTAAGAGCAGAAGTGTAGCACTGATTAAATACCAGCAGCTAGAATGAAAACTGATCAGGCAAAAGAGACATATTTCATGGTATAGTTGTCACCTCTACATAATCATTACATCCTTTTTATTTCATTCAAGAATTGTTTTATGATCTTTAGAAAAATCTTTTCATAATGGTCACAACCCACTTTTTTCATATAAATACATATACATATATATATATACTATGGTATTTGCAAAATGCATGAAATACAGTACTTTTAAAAGATAGAAAGTAGGCTATTGTGAAAAGTTGAATCAAACCCACCTGTGACCTCGGGTCCCTGAACACTTCTAGAAATCCCTCCTCTGCCAGGGAGTGAGGCAGGGGCTTCCCTGATATATTCGGATCTCTGTGGATCAGCGGGAATAGAAGGATCACTCTGGGAAGGCTGGAATTGTGACCCCAGCAGCTGGTTCCTGTGGTGGTTCTTTCCTCAGCTCCAGAACTTTCTCTCAGGCAGTAGCTTCCTTGAGCGCTTTTCTCCCAGAAGAGACTCTTGTTCGGAGTGAAGGAAGTGACCTCTCCTATTCTTTTTCCTGTCTTTGACTGACTTCACCTTTCTTCTCATAGGTGCACTTCCTCTTTCTATACATGCCGAGAACTTTCCTCTTGATTTCCAAACGATCTTTCCTCTGTTGGTTTCTCTGGGTGCTTTCTATTCAAACCATCTGCTATTTTCTTCAGAATTTGTCCTCCCTCATCGTTCTGTGATGCTTTGATGCATTGGGCTCCAGTCATGGGTGACTGGAAGGATCCGCTGTGTCTGAGGAAGCGTGTGTGTCCCGAGGATAGCCACTGTCAGCTCCCGCAGGTTGGGGGCCTTCCTTCTTACCCTTCTCCAGGAATATCTCCTATCGCCTAAGTGGAGATGACTTGAATTTGTGTTGAGTTGCTCTATTTAGGTGGGTAAGATTGGAGCAGCGACACTCTGGTGGTGACCCAAGGACTTTGTGGGCTCATGTCATTGGTCCAGTCTCATCATTGAGGACACCTTTTGAACTCAGATCAAGAATGTCGGTTTTGAGTCTAAGAGAAAGTACAGGCGTACTGGTCAGGTGCTTGCTTCTTTATGTGGCTGAACCCAGGTCCTGTTTCCCACCAGATGGTTCCCTGAGCCCCTCCAGGAGTGATCCCTGACTGCAGTCAGGAGTGAGCCCTCTGAGTGTGGCCTGCCCGAAAACTTAAAAAGGAAAAGAAAAAAAAGAACTGAAGTCAGTTGGGATTTTTCTGCTGGAATTTTTTGTCTTTTATTTGGAGCCAGTTTATCCCCATTCATTGAGTTCAAGGAATCCTGGAGGGGGTGACTCTCCTTTGGGGTGGCCCAGAGACCCAGACTCCCTCTGTGTCTTTTCAGTTTATGGCCCCCAAGGATGCCCTGGGCACAGTCCCCAATCCACTGAGTCATATTGGGAAGTTTGCTTTGTGGAAGAAAGAGGGCCCTTCTTTTGGCTAATTTGCCATCTGGAACATCTGCAGACGGAGGCTCCAAGGCTCCTTCTCCACCCACTGGGCCTGGCTCACAGACTTGTCCCCTGCCCTCTTTATCCACATAGCAAGGAGCAGCCCTTGTTAGAGAGCAAGTAGGGTTTTGAAGTTTCTGGCCACGTCCCATCTGTAGCCATGAAGAAAGGTTCAGGGCAGGCCTAGGAAGCAAGAGGGAGGTGACCCCAGTGTCCTGAGTGATCGATAATTCAACAGTGGGTGTGTTTATTTGAAAGTGAAGAATGCATGCAGCCATTCTAGGGAGAGAAAAAGCAGCAGGAAAGGATTTTTCTTAGGACTTGAGCTGCGGGTGATAGGAAGAATACTGGGACCACTAAGGGGACACACTTTTTTTTTCTTTTTGGTTCACACTCGGCAGTGCACAGGGGTTACTCCTGGGTCTGCACTCAGGAATTATTCCTAGTGGCGCTCGGGGACCATATGGGATGCTGGAAATTGAACCCAGTCAGCCACATGCAAGGCAAATGCCCTACCCGCTGTCCTATCACTCCAGCCCCAGAGGGGACACTTTTTTTTTTTTTAATTTTTTTTATTAGTGAAACACCATGAGGTACAGTTATAGACTTACAAATTTTTGTGCTTGGGTTTCAGTTATACAATGATCAAGTACCCATCCCTCCACCAGTGCCCATCCTCCACCACCACGGGTCCCAGCATCCCCCCACCCCCAACCCCTCCCCATCCCACCCTGCCTCTGTGGCAGGATATTCCTCCTTGTTCTCTCTCTCTTCTTTTGGGTACTGTGTTTTGCAAGAGAGGCATTGAGTGGCAATCATGTTTGGTCTGTAGACTACTTTTAGCATGCTTCTCCCACCCTGGGAGGGTCCTCACGACACCCTTTATTTGGTGCTCTCTTCTCTATCTGAGCTTCCTTTTCACCTAGCACGTGTGGCTGGCCTTCAAGTCATGGAGAAAAATTCCTGGTACTAATCTCAGCCATTCCTGGGTGTTAGTCTCCCTTTTTGTTGCTTTATGTTCCAGAGGGGACACTCTTACAGAGTCCTGGGGGAGAAGGAAGGAGGGACCCAGCAGACAGATGGAACCCCCTGGTGTTCTGCCCTAGACCCCACTTTGCCCCTGCCAGTGGCAGACGGGGTGCTTGCCCTCTGCTCTCTGCTTGGTGGAACCTCACTGCCGGCCTCTGTCACTGGGGTTTTGAAAACAGTTATAAAAAGAGAAGTTGGCACCTTGTAATCTTCTGGAACCAGAGAATAGCATTTTGCAACCTAATTTTCTTTGTTGTTGTTGTAGCTGTAGGTTGTTGTGAAAGAAAACTACTGTTAATTCACAGGAATGATGACTTTTTTCCCAAGAAACCATGCGGGAAAAAGCCAAGAAGGCTTTCTCGTGGCTTCCTTTTTTCTCTTTTCCTTTCCAACCCCTGCAAACCGAGAGCTGTGCTTGGTCCTGTAATAGAGCAGCCGCTGTTCCAGGCCCTCTGAGAGCCCTCCTGGGAGGGCGTGGGCTTGCACCAGTGGAAAGATTAACCGCATCTCGGCAGCTTGGGGCTCGCTCTTCTTCCTGAATCGTTAAAGCTCAGCTTTTTACTTTTGATCCTGGAGAAAAAGACGTCTGCGTTTCTTGGGCCTTTGACGTCTGTCAAGGGCCAAGTCTCCCCACATACATTGTTGTTCAGACCCTTTGATTTACAATGCTGTTAATCATAGAGTTTTAGCATACAGTGTTCTGACTCCACACCGGGCACCAGAGTGGAATCATCCCCCCACTGATGTCCGAGGGTTCCCGCCCGCCCTCCTCAGCCCCATGGTAGCCCCACTTTCAGGGCTTGTTACCACTGGCTAAGTGTTATTCCCCAACTTTGTTTTTTCATATTCTACATAAGAGACCCATCATTATGTACTTGGCCCTCTCCCTCTGACTGACTTCACTCAGCCTGAAATTCTCTAGATCCACCCACTTAGTGACAACTCACATTATTTCATCTTTTCATATAGCTGGGTCGTATTCCATGGTGTATGTATTGTGAGTCCTTTATCCTCTCATCTGTGCTTGGGCACTTCTTTCTGTTTTGTGAATGGTGCTGTGGTCAACACAGAAATGGAAATGTCTTTGCAAAGTAGTGTTTTGGGGTCTTTAATGTGTATGCCAAGAAGTAGAATAGCTGCATCATTTTCTTGACTCCATACTGTTTTCCATAGAATCTGAACAAGTTGGCACTGCCACCCACATTAGATAAGGGTTCGTTTTCCGCCCACATTCCTGCCAGTTTTGATTGTTACTACTCTTTTGATGGGTGCCAGTCTCATTGGTAGGAGGTGATATTTCTTTGTTGTTTTTATTTGCTTTTCCCTGACAAGTGAAGAGCACTTTGTCATACACCTATTCGCCATCTGTGTGTCTTCACCGAAGAAGTGTCTAATTAGCTCATCTTATCATTTTTTGATGAGGTTGTGTTTTTTCTGGTCAAGTTCTGTGAATGCTTGATATGTCTTGCAGAGTAGCTCTTTGTCAGATGTGTGATGAGTGAACATTTTCTCCCAGTCTATAGGGTGTCCTGATTCTAGACATGATTTCGTTTGCCATATAGAAACTTCTTAATTTGATGCATTACCATTTGTTTATTTTTGCCTGACCAATGGCCTTGAGTCATTGGAGATACCACTCAAGTCAATATCATGTGGAACTTTGCCTATGTTTTCCTCGGTGTAATTTTATGAACTTGGATCTAATATTGAGGGTTTTGACCCACATTGAATTAACTTTTGTGTATAGTGTGTGGGGGATCAGAATTCTTTTTTGTACCAGTTTTCCCAACACTATTGGTGAAGAGGCTTTTTGGTGAAGAGGCTTTTTTAAATTCTTCTTTTTTTATTCCTCTTTGGTGAAGAGGCTTTTTTTTTTATTCTTTTTTGTACATTTAGATCCTTTGTCAAAGATTATGTGTCTTGAGGGTCGCAGTTCTAGTCCACTGGTCCGAAAGTCTGCCTTTATTCCAGTATCCAAGACACACGATCTTGACTTCTATAGTCTATTAGGGTAAAGTTGGGAAAAGAAGAGCATCCAAGTGTCCAAGCATAAAATGTAACCAACCATGGCCTTTCACACACACCCACCCTTTTTTTTTTTTTAATTTCAGGTATATTTTTTTACAAAGGACATCCAATAAGACAAGTGGATATCTTGGGAACAGTGGTTGGAGTGAGAGAAAGAGATGCCTTTTACGCTTATGGAGGTAAGACCCGCAGTGAAAGAGTGTCACTGCTCTGAGTGTTGAATGTGAAGCACACAGGGCCTCTCTGAGCTGCTGGGAACCGTCCCAAAGTCTGTGTGACTTGTTGTCAGTGGGGAGGAGGAGCCTTTTGCCACCACCTCCCTGACTGAGCATCCAACGAGGCAGCAGGTGTGAGTGATGCTGAGAACAACCAGTGCTGCCTCAGAATCCAGAAGGGCTCCCCTCGGGCCACTGTGACGAGCAGCAGAGGACCATGACACGGGTGTGCAGTGATGTGCATCTTCCTTTGGAAAGATGGCCGAGCAGTGAGAACATAGACTCTCAGAAAGGAGCCACAGGAACCAACAATTTGAAAGATGTCTGGAACAGTTGTGTGTTTGGTGGTTTTGTTGTTGTTTTTAAAAGGACTTTGATAGATGCCCAGCATCAGAATATTTTTTTTCTCTCATGTGGTAGAAAATAAAGAAAGCCTTCCCATAGATGGGATGCCATCAGATTGAGATTGCTAGTGTAGGCATTTAATGTCACGAGTTTGGATTTTGTGAAAGAAAAAAAAAAACGAGTGTCCTGTACATCTTCTATAACTGCCATCTGCAAGTGCTGGGCACTCTGGAGTTCAGAGCCCACACTTACTCTCAGATGGGAAGTTTAACTAGGTCAACTTTATGTTGTGTCGCCTCGGGTTTGTGGCCTTGCTGTTCTTGCGAGGGCGGGGGGAGGGGGGGAGAGGCAGAGGCAGTTGAACTAGGTGGCCAAGAGCATTGCATCAGTAGTCTGTGTGGGACCCTGAAACAGGGACTCTGCTCTGCTCTGCTCTGCTCTGTGTCACCAGGGATCCAGCTTCTGTTTTCCCCAAACAGGGTCTGTATCACTGAGTTCCTCAAGCACATCCAGCTGTGACCTAGTACGTTATCTGTAGTACAGTAAAGTACTTCCTCTCCTGATACTAGTGATGAAATAATAGTGGCTTTCAGTTCACGAAGCAGTCTTGCATGCATAGTTTCTATGTTGTTGTCCCTATCATCTTCTGAAATACAATGGAGCGTTATTCCGATCTGGTAGACGAGAGAACCAACATGCCTTTCCTCGCTGGAGGTTCATGGTCTGACCTGTTAGCTGTTCCCCTTTGCTCTGCAGTGTCTTATGTTCCTCAACCTGATTTCTCTCCCTCTGCCCTCCACTAGTTCCCCTCCCCCCACCCCCACCACCCAAATTAGCTGCCTCTGTTTTTTGGAATGTTCTGCGTCCTTTAGATCAAGTACATGAGACTGGGGACGGTGATGTCGCACCATGGTAGAGCTTGTGCTTTGCATGGGTGTGGCTCTGGGGTTGATCTCTGGCATTGCTTAACACCGGTGATGACAACACAAATACTGAAAATAATAGAGGCTGAAGATGGCAGTCTAGACTCATGAAGCACGTCACTGTCATGCATTTGACCTAACTAATGGGCCTTCACTTGGCCCTTTGACCATAGGAAGTTGGAGGTTGCACTTGACTCTCCTGGCAGACATTTACCTGAGAGTTGATCCTAAGAACATGGCACATCTATTGCCAGGGGAAACCTAACCTGCGAAGGTCAAAGGAAAAGAGCAGACGTGCCTGAAGGCCCAGTGGTAGAGCACTCGCCTTGCATGCTGAGTCCTGGGCCGTTTCCCAGCCGTTTCCCAGCTGGCCAGGGAGCAATGCTTTTGCAACTTCCCTTGTGTGTGCTGAGAACTGTGTTCCAACGCCGATGCCGCTGTTCTTGGATGGGGCCAGCCATGCTGCTGCTGCCCCCACTGGGCGGCCGGCAGGTGGTCGCTCCCTCTGTCTTTGGTCGTGCTCCCCCAGTGCTTCCTGCTCACACTGACTCATTCGGCCACGGAAACAGAAGGCCAGGGGTCCTGGCAGTGCTGCACCGGTGCTCCCATGCTGGGGCTTCCCAGCAGCCAGACAGTAGGGCGCCTCAGTTGCAGGGTTTGGCGGGAGAGGAGTCAAGCCAGGAAATGAGAGGATTTGGTGGCACTGCCTTAACTCTAACAATGAGAGTGCAAGCCTGGAGTTAGGGGAGCTGCGGCCAAAACCAGAATGGCCTCACATTTTCTACAGCAGATGATCATGAGGCGCACACACACACACACACACACACACACACACACACACACACACAATGTTTGGGAGTCACACTTGATGATGCTCAGGGGACCATACAGGATCCCAGGGATCAAATCTGGTCAGTAACACGCAAGGCAAGTACCTTAACCCCTGTACTGTCTCTCTGGCCTCTTAGTATTTTTAGACTTTCTGATTTAGATCAAGGTAGCACGGGTTTGGTTTTGTTTTGTTTTTACTCCAACCAAGACTTTTTTTTTTCCTTTTTGGGTCACACCCAGCGATTCACAGGGCTTACTCCTGGCTCATGCACTCACGAATTACTCCTGGCGTGCTCAAGGGACCTTATGGGATACTGGGAATCAAACCTGGGTCAGCCGCATGCAAGGCAAACGCTCTACCTGCTGTGCTATCACTCCAGTCCCCCAACCAAGATTTTTAAACTGATTAGAGCAGTGGTATGCCTAACAGTGCCCCATTTTTTTTTTGATAGAACTTAAAATGTTCTCATTGCTAGCTCTGTTTTGCTTTGTTTTCCCTTTCCTTTCCTTTGTTGTTGCATTGATGGGGGTGGGGGCGTGGCCCCACTTGGCTCAGTGCTCATTTGCAGGATTGTTGCGCTCTCTGGGGGCTGCACACGCGGCAGCTTTGCTGGTTGGGCACCGCGTACTTTGTGTGCTGCCCTGAGTCCTGGGCAGTGTTTGCTGGGTCTTAGACACGTGGTCTCAGCGCTTGCACATACTTGCTTGTGGCTCGACAGAGGTCACACACTTTGTATTGTGGTGCCAAGGATCCCAAATAGATTGTGCCACCGGGATTGGTGCAGCAGGCAGGGTTGGACCCAGGCCTGCAACCACCAGGTGCTCTGCCACTGAGCTGACCACGGCCCAGAGTTTTGCTTTTTAAGATAATATTTGTTATTAAGTAAAACTTAAGAAAATTAGGGGTTAAAGGATGTGGGATGATAGTACAGTGGGTAGAGCGCTTGCCTTGCACGTGGCTCACCGGGTTTGATCCCCAGGAATCCCATTTGCCCGCCCCCCCCCCCCCCCAGCCCAATAGGAGTAATTCCTAAGTGCAGAGCCAAGAGTAAGCCCTGAGCACAGCCAGGCATGTGTTCTCCCTCCAAAAGAAAACTGGGGGCCTGGGAATTAAATTTTTCCTGTTGTCTTTTTTTTTTTTCTTTCAGTGCCAGGGCTCAAACCTAGGGTCTCACATGTGCGAGGCAGGCACTTGGCTGAAGTATTCTTTTTTCCTTCTGCTGTCAACAAAGATTTAAACCACTATTACACTTAAAATTTTTTCCCAATGTTTCTTCTTTATTTCATGTGCAGACTAGCTGGTGGCTTTTTTAAAATCATGAAGCCCACTGGGCTCATACTTAGCAACCTCTGTTATGGATTTGTCAGAAATCAGGCAAAGAGAAAACACTTCTCTTGTTTCCTGGAAAACATCTCCCAGTTCTTCTCCAATTCTCAGTCCAAGTGTGGTGGGAATGCTTTGATTGCTGCCACCTCCTCCTCCTCCCCCTTCCCCCTTTCTTCTTCTCCCCCACCCTCCTCCCACTCCCTTCTCCCTCCTTTTCCTTCTCTTCCCTCCTCCTCCTCCTCCTTTTTCTTCTTCTTTCTTCTCCTTATTCTTCCTTCTTCCTCTCTCCCCCTCCCCCTCCTCCTCCTTTTTTTTATGGTGGGAGGCGGGGGGGGGGGTGGGGTGGGGAGAACACATGAAGGCTAAAATAACTCAGACCAGTAACTGTTTGTGTGACCAAGAGAGAATTACTTTCTGCCGTGAAAATAACGCATGTCCCTTCTGTGATGTACTTGGCTTTCTTTCCATACCCTGGAGAGCTGAGAGCCAGCGGGGAGCACTTGCACAGAGAAGCCCCAGCCAAGTGACCTGCGATGCCCTGTCTTGGTTGCCAGCTGGGGAGAGAGCAGATGCGGAGAGTCACCCATCCCACGTCTTGGAGTCCAGGGAATGTGCTTTTGTTTCAGGGGAACAAGCAAAGCTGCTTTTGCATCTGAACAATCACTGGGACTTTTGAACTCAACTTGATTGAGGACATCAGTTGTAGATGGTCTAGACAGGAATCATCAGTTGCCTTTGAGGTAGAGGGTAGATGAGGTGTTGATGCCTTCTGGTAGGTTCCTCTATTATATTGACCCAGGCAAGCATGATGTTCCTTTGTAGAAGGTGAAGGAGAGGTGGCAAGTGGTAACTGGACCACGGAAGCCGTTCTCTGCTGGTCTGCTGGAGGCAGAGATGAGGGACCCGTGGGCACGCTGTGAAGCCCAGCTCACACTTCTCCCTGCCTCTCTTGCAGTGGACGATAGTACTGGAGTCATAAACTGCATCTGCTGGAAAAAACTGAACAGTCCCGAGTTTTTACCAGGTAATATGATTCACCAGTAAACAGCATTTGATTTCATGTTCCATTTCTTTGCAGCTCCCCAGGGGGCTGTGTCCAGACGAGCTCATCAAGCTCAGTTTTCCCTTTAGCCATTGGTGAATTGCATCAGTCCACTGGATATACTGTGTCCGGAGCTTGTATCACTCCACAAGCTGCCGCCCGCCCCGGAACCCTTGCTTTCCTCCCTCCTGGTGGCTTGGCGCCCTGCACCCCATCAGCTGGGGAATGGAATGGGAGGGCCAGCGTTTCATTCTGACTGTGCTAGTTACTAGGCGAAGGTGGGTGTTTTAGGCCAAGATACAGACCAAGTTAGAATTCCCTGTGTCAGGGGCTGGAGAGATAGCACAGCAGGTAGGGCACTTTCCTTGTATGTATAGAAAGAAAAGAAGAAAAAAGAAAATAAAAGGAAAGAAAAATCTCCTGTTTTAGGCATTGCACTTGAACATAGGAGACTTAGAATGCTTCTCCCCCCCTACTGCATTTTACTCATAATCACGGTCCTCCCGTTGTTCATCGATTTGCTCGAGCGGGCCCAGTAACGTCTCCATCATGAGACTTGTTGTTACTGTGTTTTGCATATCGAATACATCAGGGGTAACTTGCCAGGCTCTGCTGTGTGGGCGAGATACTCTCGGTAGATTGCCGGGCTCTCCGAGAGGGGCGGAGGAATCGAACTCGGGTCGGCCATGTTGGCCGCTTGTAAGGCGAATGCCCTACCGCTGTGCTATCGCTGCAGCCATCTCAGGTTTTATGCCAACCATTCCCAAGAGTGGGGTGCAGCAATTAGGGGAAGCTATTTATAAACGTATGCCCGTATTTCTGAAGAGCAGCACACTGATTTTGTGGTAGAGGTGATTCTGCAATAAAATATAGTACACAATTGTCCCTAACTGGTCTGCTTCCACAGTGCAGGGGTCCTAACAGAGCAGACCAGAAGTTTCTAAAGTGTTCGAATAAAGGAACTAGGAATTCAGATTCCTGAGAAAGTGATGCAGGACTCCTTTGAAGTTAATTAGCCATTCAGGATTATAAACTGAAAAATAATTTATTTTTATTTGGGCCACACCCAGTGATGCACAGGGGTTATTCCTGGCTCTGAACTCAGGAATCACTCCCGATGGTGCTCAGGGAACCATATGGGATGCTGGAAATCAAACCTGGGTCAGCCTCATGCAAGGCAAACGCCCTACCTGCTGTGCTATCGCTCTAGCCCCCCAAAATAATTTTTTTAATTTATTTTTTTATTAGTGAAACACCATGAGGTACAGTTATAGACTTACAAATTTTTGTGCTTGGGTTTCAGTTATACAATGATCAAGTACCCATCCCTCCACCATTGCCCATCCTCCACCACCACGGGTCCCAGCATCTCTCCCACCCCCCATCCCCCCACCCCACCCTGTCTCTGTGGCAGGGCATTCCCCCTTGTTCTCTCTCTCTTCTCCCAAAAATAATTTTTAAAGTGTATAATACCACTTACGCTAGCACTGAAACAACATTTGGAATATCTTAGGATATTGAAATACTTCTTTGGTAGTTTTTAAAGTTGTTTGAGTTAATAATAATAAATGTGCACATCACTGTTGACCATTTTCAGTTCTAGAGAAGACACAATGACCTGGCTTCTTATTTTCCACCAACACAACGTGCCCCCTGAGCCGGCTTGTTGGTCCAGGGCAGAAAGGTCTGACCTGGGCCTGGTGTCCCCTCTCCTGGCCAGTTCCGTCATGGGATCTTGGCTTCCTGCTCCCACACTACTGGCCTGTGGGATGCAATTCTGCCTCTGTGTGTTAACATTGGGGATCTGACCATCAGTTTCACAAAACTGGGATTTCCACTCCCCACTTTGACTAATGGCTCTTCTCTACTCAGGAGGCTATGTTGGTTAAGACCAGCTAAGAAGGCCCCGGGCCCATGAGATTATCTCTCCGACGGGTGACGCATGGTTCGGGCAGGTGTTTGACTTTGCCTCTGTGAGGGCCTTGACGTTGTCGGCAGGTTCCTGTCGCCGTCTTCCTGTGAAGGGCGGGCTTGAGTATATGTCCTGGTCTCAGACCCATGTTGGCCAACCCTTTGTTTCCATCAGGGGCCACTCCCAGCAATACCTGCAGTACCGGCTCAGCAGCTCAAGACCGGCCGTCGGTTGAACCCAGGGTTCCACACAGGCAAGGCAGGTGCTCTGCCCCGTTGAACCACATCCCCAGCCCAGCCCAGCAAATCTCTTTTCTGAACAGTACCAATGTTGTCTGCTTTGTGGGCTACGCAGTAACATTTCTCAGCCTTTTTACATCAGCGGGTGGCACCTGTCCAGCATTCCCGTCCACACACCTGCAGTTATCACCAATGCTGGAGACCAGGGGTTCTCAGCCTTCCTCTGTCTGTCCAACCGGCACCAGTCTGTGAACCAGTGGTTGAAGAATGTCAGGCTATGTGGCTCTGAATCTCAACTTTTTTATTGTTTCGGAGACATACCCAGCCATGCCCAGAGCTAACTCCTGGTTCTGGGCTTAGGAGACCATTTGGGGGTGCCAGGAGTCGAACCCGGGGCAGCTACCCCGTGCAAAGCAGTCCTCCTACCCACCATATTTTCTCTCCAGCCCTGAGTCTCAGCTATTTACCCCTGCCCTTGTAATACAGAAGCAGCCGTAGATGGTCCTTAAGCAAACAGGCTGTGCTCTGATAAAAATGTACAAAAACAGTTTGTGGATAGATTTAGCCTTAAATTGTTTATAAAGCCTTCTTTTAGGTGTTTTAATCTTCAAAATCAAGTCTTTACAAAATAAATATCAGGAATATTGTATAACTTATATACTTAGTAACTTTTTAGATAAGGTGTCAATTAATATTTTTGTTGTTTTTTTTTTTTATTTGTTTGTCTCTGGCCACACCCGGTAATGCGCAGGGATTACTTGTTTTGCTTTGGGCTCAAAAATCAAAAAAGAAAAATTGAATAGTTGGGAATGAGAGTGTTAAATATCTGTCCATAAATACATACAAATACGGCGAGTAACCTTAATTGGAAAATGCTCTGAGCAAAGGAGGAACGAAGGCAAGGAAAGAGCAAACCTGAGAATGGTTCTCAGGAAGGAAGGTCTGTTTCCAAATTGCTCCCTGATGCCCATTCTTTCCTTTCAATTTTATTGCCCTTCATTTAAAAGCTTTCCACTGCAGAGAGGCCAGTGAATACTCATTTCTTAAACAAAATTTAGTCTGAGTCAGAATCTTGTTCCAGTCAGTTAAGGTATAAGAATGTACTATTAATTCCAATAAATGTCACTTTGAATGTGCCATTTGGACTTAGCTTATGAGAAAAGTTAAGAAAGCCTGGCCCTTAATATTCAAATTTTAAAGACGGTTTCTCTTTCAAGGAGGAGCAGGCTACTTAAAATGAAATTCTGTCGGGCTTCAGCCCTCTCATTATATTCATTAAATTACAAAACTAGAGCCCACTTCTTTCAGCAGTTTGCCAGTTTGCTCACCTTTGAAATGAAAACTGGGCTTTTTTTTTTTTCCTTTTGCACACCAGCCACACCAGTCAGTCTGATCAACTTAGCCATGCACCATGAGGCTTTCATTAATACCTATAATGTCCAAATAACAGCATAAAATTCTATGTTTAAAATTCAACTGAAGGGGCTGGAGCGATAGCACAGCGGGTAGGGCATTTGCTTTGCACGCGGCCAACCCAGTTTCGATCCCCAACATCCCATATGGTTGCCCGAGCACCTCCAGGAGTGATTCCTGAGTGCAGAGCCAGGAGTAACCCCTGAGCATCGCTGGGTGTGACTCAAAAAGCAAATTAATTAATTAATTAATTAAAATTCAACTGAAGTTCAAGGGGACTTGTAGATAGGCACACCAGATGGAATAACCTTGAAAAAAGCAAGACTTGGGGATTTCCTAAGAAGGATGAGGGAGTGAAGTCCCTTAGAGCTGACTGTCCGGTTCCTTGCTCTGGGTCTTTGCACTCTGGGTACCCAGGCCCCTGGAGAAAGGAGAGAAAGGTCTGGCTTCTGCAGATCCCAAAGCCTAAATCTAATCAGCATCCAGGACTCTCAAATAACCACAGCCCAGACTTTGTATTCAGCGGAGCGTGTTTAGAGGGAGAGACGGGGTTCCTAGCATGGAGCAGTTGAATAGCTATGTGAGCCCCCCCCCCCCCCCCCCCCCGCAAAACCGTCTCACAGACACGGAACACGGAAGTGTCCAGGTGGTGTGGACTTTTCTCTCTTCCCTTCCACCCTGACAGCTGTACCTGCCCCAAGTACTCGGAGCCTCACCACTGAGCTTGCGAAGCTGCAGGAAACCATTGAGGAGAGATCGAAGCTGGAAATCGGGGATGTCATCCGGGTCAGGGGCTGCATCCAGACCTACAGAGAAGAGCGGGAGATCCGTGCCCTGATTTATTGTAAGACAAAACTAATTGCGTCCAAGTAGTAGGAAGCCAGTGTGCTGCCTGCCTCCCTTCCCACCCTGCTTCCAGACTCAGGAATCCAGCACAGGGCCTTGGACACTCTTGCCCAGCTAAAAGACAGGCTCCCCTCCCCAAAAGAAAGTGCCATTAAAATGACTGGCTCAATATATAGTGGAGGCGATCACTGGATCACATGAGGCTTTCCCTTGAAAGGCCTTGGTTTCCTTTCGAAGAGAAGCAACTCGCAATAAATTGGGTGAGGAAAAAGGAATGGTGTGTCACTTCTGGTCGGAAGGTGCCTTTGGACAATTGTCGAGTTCCATAGGACTTGGAGGTTCAGGACCTCCAAGGGAGATGAATCCACATGGGGGCAGAGTGTTCGGGTTCTTCAATGTGAGGGTGATGACTTGAATGCCACTGAGACCGCAACCCCAAAGAAGGCAGCTGGTCAGAAAGAGGATGGGCCGGCCCAGGGCTGATGCAGCATCCCAGCAATGGGGGGACGGGGAGGCCCCTACTGTTTCCCCTGCAGAGATGAGCGAACCCCCAGTGACTCTTCCACTCCCCAGCCACAACCCCCGTGGCCTTCCCTCCCAGAGTGACCGGCAGCACTTGAGTGCCCTGTCTGAACCCGGGCGCACTGCTCACAGCTGTCCATTACTTGTCAGATAAAGTGGATGATCCCATGTTCAGGGCGCAGGTCGCCAGGATGCAGGAACTGCCCCCACTCTACCGGCAGGTCTATGACCAGCCCTTCCAGTGCGCAGCGTTGGAGAGAGAGAAGACACTGAGGTAAGTGGGAGCTTCTCCCTGCAGAGGGATCCCGCAGAAAGGTCGCCGTGCTGCAGGGGTCCTGGGCTCAGGCCTCGTTCATTGCAGGGCTCTGGAGAGTGGAGCTGAGGGCACACATATTCTGGGGAGGAAATGTCCAGGCACAGGCCGGACGGAGCAGGGGGCAAATATTTGGAGACATAGTGACTGAGCCCCACTATCTCACTCACACGCCCACGCAGCTCTGAGAGCCTCAGACAGCAGGAGAAACCAGGAGACATTGGCTCCACGCACAGCCCAGCCAAAACGTGGCATCACACGAGTTTAGAACTTCCCCCACTGCTCCTGGTCATCCCAGCCCGGCAGGGTTTTACTATGGTATAGAGGATGTGGAAAGGGAATGAGAGTGTGTCTTTGCTAGCATAAGCCTCGAGGATTCTGGAAGGGGACAGATCAAGCCCCCAGGCTGTGTAGGGGGTGGGAGAAAGGAAGATTATAGAGACTGCTCAGCAGGTACCCCTAAATTTTTTCGTTGTGTGCATATTGCACATATTTTTTAAGTGGGTTCACACACACACACACACACACACACACACACACACCCGTAGGCCTCTCTTAGGTGCAGAGTGCAGGTTCTCTGTCCTGTTCCCCCACTCCAACCCTTATCCCTCTGTGGCCCCTTTCAAACCTTTGTTCTGTGTCTGCACGCAAGCATGAACACTCACCCCTGGATTTTAGGGTTACCATTTGCTTTCTCAGAAAAGTGGGGCCCTAGCTTCATACTGTTCTGCAGTTTGGCTCTTCCTTCATCCATGACAGGTTGTTAGTGCCTCATCCTGTATACCCTTCCGGTTCCTGTGGGAATCGCCTGATGTCGAGGCAGGCATCCACGGTGCTTGCTCCTTGCCAGCCAAGTGTCCGGCGTCAGGCACGAACCTAGGTCACAGTCTCTACCTCAAACTTTGCCCCCCAACAGCAACCCAAGCTCCCTGGACCTTCTCAGTCTCACGGGTTTGCTGAGTGACAAAATCAAAGAATTCCTCCTGGAGAACCGCGTGATGACCTTCTACCAGCAGGAACTGGAGCTGGAGCCCTCCCTGCTGTCCCTGGCCAACCAGCCCGCCATCCACAGCGCCTGCTCTGAGCAAGTAAGTCGGGGTGCCGAGGAGTAAGGCTCAGTGTTCCCGCAGAGTTCCTGCCCTGATCCCCAAAGGTTTGCACCTGCCCTGGCCCCCTCACCACTTGCTGGACCTCATCAAACTTCATCTTGGGAAACAAAAGTAGAACGGGTTCTGTTTTCATGCACTGCTTCCTACTGAGATGCTGTTTCATCTCAGCAGGAGCCGAAGGGAGGGCAGGTCGGCCCAAAAAGACCATTCTCACAAGGGTACTTCCTGGGCCCTGAGCCAAGGTGTGAACTGGCTTGCTCTCCTTTAGACTAAGGTTCCTTCATCATATTGAGGAGTTTAGGTAAAGACCCAAATTACATCCAGCTTGATTCATAGTGGGCTGGGGCGATAGCACAGCGGGTAAGGTGTTTGCCTTGCATGCAGCTGACCTGACCAACCCGGGTTCAATTTCTCCAACCCCTCTCGGAGAGCCAGCAAGTATTCTCACCTGCACAGCAAAGCCTGGAAAGCTACCCATGACATATTCGATATGCCAAACACAGTAACAGTAAGTCTCACAATGGAGACATTACTGGGCCCCGCTCGAGCAAATCGATGAACAATGGGAGGACAGTGATAGTGACAGTGATTCATAGTAAAATTTTTCAGAGAGCACATGAGTAATATCATTGTTTCTCCTGGAGGAGCTGTTGCTCATCTTGAGTTGACTGCCTGGAATTAAGATAGGGGGCCAGACTTTCCCTTGTATTACCGGGATGATGGGCCTGGGGTTCATTGGCACACAATTTATATTTGTGTCTTTTGTTTAGTAGTTCACCAAGAAATGATCTAAGCTTACCTGTCACCTTTTGAAAAAATATGTATGTGGGGGGGAGGGGCACAGTGAAATAGTTCCGTCCCCAGCACCCCGTATGATCTCCCGAGTCCCACCTGTGGTGATCCCTGAGCACTGAAGTAAGCCCTGAGCATTGCCAGGTGTGGCCACAAAACAAAAGTGTTTTTGTTACTATTTGGGGGACCATTGGGGGACCATTATCTGTGGTTTTGGCGATCACTAGGGCCACACTCAGTGGTGCTTGGGAAACCATGCAGTGCCAGGGATTGAACCCAGGGCCCTGGCCACAGTTCCCCTTCTGTCAAAGGTCTACCACCTCATGGCAGCTGTCCTGAGCCTCGTCAGGAGAGAGAGGCACCTAATGACCCTGTCACTGTAGATCCATCATTCACCATTGAATTTCTGTGCTGTGCTTCAAAGATCCTTCACCAGGGGCCAAAGACGTGACTCTGCCTCAGTCAAGAGTGTGAGCCATAGCGTGTGCTGTGTGCAAGCACCACAACTAGAGGAGGCCAGACCTCAGTGAGCACTGTGGCCGAGTATGCAAGCACCACAAAACTGACGTTCAACTCCTGGTGAGCACCAGAGCTGAGAACACCTGAGCAGCCCAGTCAGCCACAGCTCACTGACAGTCACCGGAATAGCCATGCGGAGAAGGGGGCTGGGCAAAGGCAGAATAACAACAGGGCTGGCGAGAGGGCTCCAAGGGTGGGAGAGGTATGCCTGGCATGCACAGGGCCCTGGGTTCAATCCCTGGCACCGCACGGTTTCCCAAGCACCAGTGCAGAGACCAGCATTCAAAACCGGAAGTAGAGTTTATACTGTATCCTTGTTGCCAGACCTGCATAAAGTGGGATATAAGCAGAAGCATGTGTAATCTCTAGCAAGTTGTTTTGTTTGGGGGCTAGTCCTGGCCCTGTGCTCAGGGGTCACTCCTGGCACTGCTTGGGGCCATGTGGTGCCAAGAAATGGAACGTGGGCCTCCTGCATACATAGTGAGTGCCCAGCTCATTGAACACATTCTTTCTCTCTCTCTCTCTCTCTCTCTCTCTCTCTCTCTCTCTCCCTCCCTCTCACCCCCCTCCCTTCACCCCCTCTGCCTCTCTCTTTCTCTTCCCCCCTCCCTGCCGTACCAGGATTTAATCAGTTGCTCTCTCTATTCTGGGACCATTGCGACGTTTTTCCTCTTGGGTCATTATCCTCAGGGCCGCTGTGACTGTCTATGAGTACGTAACCCAAGTGATTCTCCGTGATTCTGGTGGCACAAACACCAGAGCCCCCACCCCGACCTCTTCTGCATGGCCACTGCTTCTCAGTTTCCTTTGCAAACCTAATTATCTCTTCCTGGCACCAGCCTTGTGTGCCCAGTGACCCTCCTTTTGATGCATGTTGACGAGGGATATGGTTTCAGGAGCCACCCAGGTGGAGCGGGTCCTGACTGACCGCTTTGTTCCCGACCATCCTTGCCTCTCAGCAGTTGCAGCCCTCTAGCTGCCTGCTGACAGCAAGACTGACCTTCCTGTTGAATCATTTAGAGGCAGCCCCATGCCAGTGCGACTTCTCGTGACACATCCGGCTTTTGGAAAGCAACCACCAGCGCTGAGCAAAAACCACCATCTTCCCCAAGACCATCTCTGCTGCAGCGGAGGCTAGAAAGATTGTCCAGAATGAGCCATGCAGCGTCCCAGGAGTGGGACGTCTTTGTGGAAATGCCTCCATCTGGCTCCCCACTTAAAAAGCAATGAATCACTTGAGAGATAGTGCAGGGAGGAGGGCATTTGCCTTGCACATGGCCAACCCAGGTTCAATCCCCAGCACCCCATATGATCCCCCCGTAAGCACTGCCAGGAGTGATCCCTCAGCGCAGAGCCAGGAGTAAGCCCTGAGCGCTGCCACCAGGTGTGAACCCCCTCCCCAAGTCACCCTCTCCCCCCAAAAAAATCAGTTAATATGGCAGCGTGCTTGTTTTCTTTGGAAACTTCCCCCATCAATTATGGATTCCCTTGCATGGCTTTGGTTGAGGTGGTCAGTATCGTTATACTGGTCAGCAGAGCGGGGGAGACCAAGGATGCGTTACAGTAATGGTGAAACCTTAGAACCCCGGGCACTTTCCACTGTCAAGCACATGAAAACAGAACCAAAAATAATTGTGACCCTGTCACAGTAGAGGCGCAGGGACAGCGGGCCTGGCGGTCCCCCCTCCCACCCCCCTACCCCCACCTCCCAGACTGGCCCTTCTTTCGCAAATCCAGAAACATGATAAGTGAACCTTGCCAGCCCATTGTTCTAGTCTGACAGCGGGATGAATGTGCAGTTTGTTTGGAGTGAAGACGCTATATATATATTTCAGAGGTCCGCCCAGTTCCTGACCCAGGGGACACGGGGGCCTGCGCGGAGCAGCACTCGGCGACCTCTGTTCTTGGCTCAGTTTGAGCGTTTGAGTGTCCTGGATCGGATGAGCCTTGCTCTTTGGGAAAAGATGAGAAAGACTCAGATCCCAGGCCAGGAGTAGCTACCAGCCGGGAGGGGGGCTGGAGGCTTCACCCCGAGATCTTTTGGGGGAGAGAGGTCCAGAGCTGGGGTGGCGGGAGGTTCTGGAAAGGAAGCCTCGCTCAGCTTTCTGTTGACGGGACACCCTCAGTGCTGGCTGCCGAGGCCCAGAGCACGCAGCACTGCCCTCTCCCCCTCTCCCGGGGGAGTGGTCCCCTGAGCATGACTGTCGCTGACATCCCCAGGAGTGTCCCCGAAGCACAGACCCGGGAGTAGCCCTGAGTATTGTAAAGTATGGCCCCAAAACCAGAAGGACAAAAAGGGGGGTCGTAGAGATGGTACCGTCGGTAAAGCACTTGCCTTCAAGCCCCAGCACCCCATCTGGTCCCCTGAGCACCAGCAGGAGTGATCCCTGAGCAGAGAGCCAGGAGTAAGCCCTGGATATCACCCGGTGTGGCCCCTAAAACAAAAATGAAAGAAAATATGGGACCTCCAGTACTGACTTTCTGGGGTATTCAGTGTGAGTAAAGTTCTTTGAAGAAGGAGTTATATGTACCTGTGACTTTCATGAACAGAAGGAGAGTAGTATGTGTATAATGTTTGGGTTGTTTAGTTTAAAAATATATATATATGTGTGTGTGTGTATATATTATATTATATTATATATATAATCACCACCACCACTCCCCCCACCCTTGCCCGGGATCTTTTTTTTTTTTTATTTTTGAATGCAGGGTATGGGGAGGAGGCACCCAGACTGTGCTTTGGAGGACAGGGGACCTTCCCAGACGTTGTCAAACAACCTGGCCAGCAGTTCCATGCCAGGGCCCAAGGATGTGGTGCTGCCCAGTCCCGGGGCCCTCCAGGACTGAGTCAAGAGATACTCAGGGCGCCTTTGTGGTGCTGGGGATGGAGCCAGGGTCAGTGCCTTAAGCTCTGAGCTAGCTCTCCAGCCCCTCAGAGACAGTCTTTCAGATTTGCAACTTGACATCCTAGCGTTTATACTTCAGAAAAGTCACCGCTTTTTCTGGCGTGTTGCTGCCAGAGCAGACGGCCCCTTCCATAACTTACCCTCCTGCCTGGCTCCTTCTGACTCAGCTGATAAAAGCCTGTCTAGGCAATTGCTCCCAGGTGCTGTGGAGATGGGACTTAGTTTTCTTCTTTTCTTCCCTCTCTCCCTCCAGGTGGATCATACGAATGACACCACTTCCAGGGCCATTCACAGTATATTTAAGAATGCCATCCATCTGCTTCAGGAGAAAGGATTCATTTTCCAGAAAGATGGTGGTTTTGATAACCTCTATTATGTAAGAGACCTACAACTTATTTATTTATTTTTTCCTTCACAGCTCAGCACGAGTAAATTTAGTCCTTAAGGGTAACTTGGGCCCACGGATGTGGCTTACGTGGCAGAGCATGTACATGTGTGAGGGCTTGGGTCAGGGGTGCTGCATGCGCCCCTCTCCCCGCAGCACTGCCAGGTGTGGCCTCCACTACTGTTTCCGGGTAGGGGGAAGAATTCCTATTGATTTTTTTTTTTTAAAGAAATGAGTCATGAGAAGCTGGGGAGATAGTACAGCAGGTAGGGCATTTGCTTTGCACACGGCCAACCCAAGTTCGATCCCAGGCATCCCATATGGTCCCCTGAGCACCCCAGGGGTAATTCCTGAGTGCAGAGCCAGGAGTAAACCCTGACCATCTCTGGATGTGGCCCAAGAAAACAAACAAATGGAGAAATCAGTCGTGAAGGAGGCACGCAGAGGTTTGAAAGTCCTCCGTTACAGGATCTCCACGTAAACACTGCTCGATGCATCGACAGATACCCTCAGAGAAGTGTGCGTTCTTGTGAAACCCCTCCAGCTTGGGGTTCCTTGACCTCCACCTGCCTGGGGGAAGTCGCATCTTGAGGGCCGTCCTGCATCTGCATGGCTGGAAGTTTAACAGCCTCCTGGCTCGTACCCCCAAGAGACCAGGAGCAGCTTCGCCCCAACCCATTTTTTTGCCGCCCCAACAGTCTCCAGACATTGCCAAGTGCCCCCTGGGACTCTTGAGAACTCTCCAGCTCTAAATAATGCTCCGCTTTTCCCGGCACCAAAGAAGCACACGAGCGGCATCGCTCGGGTTAACATTCTAGACCCACCTCATTGGGTGGCGGGGGTGGGGGGCATCCGATGCTGTGCCACAGGGCCCTTCCAGCCCCTTCCTGGCGAACCTTCGTGTCCACGCAAGGACAGTGGCTGTAGCAAACTCTCCATCACTGTCTCTGTGAGTTTGTCTGAGCGTTCCTGTGAGATGGACTCTTAAGAGAGGACTTGCCTGAGCCAAGGGCCCGTGCATGGAAACATCTGGTCATCCCAGGCTGCCCGGCCTCCTGACAGGCTGTCCCGGTAGGCACACCCCCGCCCCCCCCAGGACAAGTGCCTCCCTGCCTGGGACCAGCGGGTCATCTGCTCCCCTTCCACTGCCCGCCTGTATCCCCAGGTCACTCACAGCCCAAGGGAACCCTCCTCGCAGCCGCCGGGTCAAGGCTGACACCGCGGCTTCAGCTCCCAAGGGCTTCTCCTAGAGTGTTGGAACTGAGGGGTCCCGCCAGCCTCACTGTTGACTGGTGTGGTCCTTGGAGTGAGGGGGGGTTGTGCACGGGGGGACCTCTTTAAAAGAACAATTTCTTGGTGCTGATTTTATTCTGTGAGTCCCCAGATTAGAGTTTTTAAAAGATATGTTGCCTTTTAAAAAAAATTTTAGGGGCTGGAGTGACAGTACAGCAGGTAGGGCATTTGCCTTGCATGAGGCCGACCCCCAGGTCCAATCCCCAGCATCCTACATGGTCCCTCAAGCACCGCCAGGGGTAATTCTTGAGCACAGAGCCAGGAGTAACCCCTAATCATCACTGGGTGTGACCCAAAAAGCAGGAAAAAATAAAATTTATTTTAAAAATAAAACAGAGGCCAAAGAGGTAGTACAGGGGTTAAGGCACTTGCTTGACATGTGGCTGGCCTTCGTTTAATCCCTGACACCACACAGGATCCCCTGACCACTGCTGAGGGAATGAATCACCCCTGAGCCCCGCTGGGAGCAGCCTTCAAGCGCGGAGCCTAGAGTAGCCCCCAGCACGGTTAGGTTTGTTAGGTTTTAAGTAACTACTCAAAGAACTTGAAAAGAGGATTCCGGTTGTTGAATGCCCAGCAGGATGGGAACGACCTGGAGGGAGAGTTGGAGCAGCTCCCCTGGGACCCAGGCCCCCTGCAGTGCCCGGAACATCAGCATCTGGGCAGCTAGCCAGTCCGAGGAGCTGAGCGAGGAGTGGAGGGCTGGGTGCTTCCTGCAGTGAATCAGCATGGGCTGGAAGGGGCGGCCTGAGGCTCAAACACTGTGCTCCTGAGCCCGCCTGCAGCCTCCGGTGAATCAGCCTGGCTCGAAGGGTGGTCCGGCCTGCTTCATCTCTCGCCTCCCTGGCCTCTGCTGTTGGTTTTCCCCAGGGCTGGTGCGCCCCGGTGTCCGTGTGGTGCCGCCCAGCTTTCCTGCTCTCCTGCAACCCCCCTTTAATCTCCACTGTAACCTTGAGTCCCGCGGGCCTTATCTGCACCCCCATCCTCAGTCCACACTCCCCGCACCCCACCAGATAAGGCTTCCCAACACGCAGGTTCATTTGCTCACTCCTTGTTTTTCTTGCTTGTGTCTTCCCCCCCCCCCCCCACCTTCCTCTGCTTTTCCCTTTTTTTCTTTTCTTTTGATCTGGTTGTGAGGGTCACCGTTGAACACAGCCCCGGGACCCCTTTTGTGGTTGCTCACTTCTTTCCTGAGAGTCCCATTGAGGAAGGAACAAGGTTCTGTTTGCCTTTGAAGGCAGGAACTTCAGTGCCCGGGCTAGATTTGCTCTCCCTCCCGGGTTTCCCCCTGTGGTTTTCGTTTCCTCTATTTTCCTTTGGGCCTGGGAGGAGAAAAATAATGAGATGCAAGATTGGGGTCCCATGGGTAGGGGCCCCGGGGGAGGGGTTATGTCTTCCTCTCAGGTATCACAACAGTCAGAGGAATTGCATGAATGTGAGATGAGTGTTCACAAAGAAAGTTGCTCTGGCAGCATTTGGAATGTCAGGGTCTCATCACAGTATGCCTCCCCTGTCCCCTGGACCGGCTTCCCCGGAGACCCGCAGAGAGACCCACACAGCTGGCTAGGGTAGAGGCCGTGGACTGAAAACGGCCTCGGCGGTGGGGGAGAGCCGAGTGTTAGGAAACCCTCGTAACTAGCCTCAGTGTTTTTGCTGGGCCCCTGCGTGACATAACCCCTGCGTTACTCAAGAGTGCCTTCTCTCTCAACTCTCTTTCCTGTTTAGGTAACCAGAGGGGACAAAGAACTCCACAGGGAGATCCAGCGGATTATTCAAGAAGACTGCCAGAAGCCAAATCGTAAGTAGAGTAATGAGGCATCCCCGGCCCCCCCCCCCCCTGCCCCGGAATATTCTACCCCCCCCCCCCCAGCACTGCACAGGGACCTGGGCTTGCAACACTGAAGTGCAACTGCACCCCACCCCAGCTCCAGGCTCCTCCCCTTTGGAGGAGTGTCAAGCCTTAAGTATCAGGCCCCCTGGGCTTGGCTCTGACCTTCACTGCACACAGGACTATCGAACATTCGTGCTCAGGCCCCACCCCCGGGTTCTGATTCACCAGCTAGGTGAGCTGCTGGGAATCCTGACACACCTGTGTAGACCCGCAGCCTGGGGCCTTTTGAATGTGCATTCCTTAGTTTAGGGGAGAAGAAGGTAGAGGCATGGGGAAATCCTCCTCTTCCTGGCTTGGTGCTCAGGGTTCACACCTGCAGGTGCTCGGAGACCTTATACAAGCTCTGGGAATCAAACCAGGCCTGGGGCATGCAAGCCAAGTGCCCGGAACCCCTCTCTCTCCCTGCTCCCAGGCTGGGACTTCGGGAGATTCTAGTTCCGCCTGTTCTCGGACTGGTGTGACTTCTTGTTCCACTCTTGCACCTTGTCTCGGAACCAAACCTGACATTTTCCTTTCCTCTAACACCAGATCCTTGGGTGTGGGGAGGAATGAGCGAGACATTATAATTTATGACCAGTGTAATTTGGTCATTTTGGAACTGGTTATTTATGAAGGAAATGGTTGAGGAAGTGGCCGGTTTTCATGGAGTTAGGACAGCCCCTAGTGGCTGGAAATACAAAGTGTCCAGCGTCTGGCTGGAGGTATCGCCGTCTCCACACTGGTCAGGGAGAGAAGGAAGCGGTCATCCTCTCAGTAAGCACTGTGTGAACTGGTCTGCCAGCAAGGTAACTTCTCAGAGTTTCCTTTGGCCAGTACATGCTAATCACGAATGCCAGCACATGTCAGCAAGCACGCTAGATGATGAGGAAGCCCAGAGGCTTGTGAGTGGCCGAAGAGGCCTCCCTAGAGAAGCAGCACTGTGTCCTCTCCCGGTGAGAGGAAGGAGCCCTTCCTGCTCATCTGCCCGGGGAAGGGACCTGTTCCCGCCTGAGTCCGTAGGTAGAGGTGGGGGTGTTTGTGCTGTGCGGTGTCTGTAAGAACCCACCAGGCCAGGTCTTAAAGTACTGTGCATCTAGGTCTTAAATAGAAATAATCTGTTGTTTTAGTATTAGGTTTCTGTGCGTTGTTCATTTCTCCAGAATAATAAGAACGGGTATCCTTGGTTGGTGGTGGGTAGACATGTGGGAAGTCTGTTTAAAGAGCTTTGAAGAAGAGTGAGATGTGGGATTCCTTGACCAAGGTAGGGAAGCTACTCCCAGAGAGTCCTCCAGCCACGTAGCCCCAGGCTACCTGGCTGGATTCTTATTTATTTATTTTTGATTTGGGGCCCACACCCAGAGGTCCTCAGGGCTTATTCCTGGCTCTGCACTTAGGGATCACTCCTGGAGAGCTTGGAGGACCAAGCAGGTGCCAGGAATCAAACTCTGGTCAGCAGCATACAAGGAAAGAGCCCTACCTACTGTACTGTTTCTCTGGCCCCGAGATTATTTTTATCTGTATTAGGGAGAGGGTAGCACTGTAGTACTGTTGTCCCATTGTTCATCGATTTGCTCAAGCGGGCACCAGTAGCGTCTCCATTGTGAGACTCGATGTTACTGTTTTTGGCATATCGAATACGTCATGGAGAGCTTGCCAGGCTTTGCCGTTCTGGCGGGATACTCTCTGAGAGGGGCGGAGGAATCAAACCTGGGTTGTCCTGCGTCAGCCTCATGCAAGGCAAATGCCCTGACAGCTGTGCTATCGCTCCAGCCCAGGGAGAGGGTAGAGTGAAAAAAATTCCAAGACTTGATAGAGGTAATGAAAGGCTCATACTTTATTATTTTGCTTGTTTTTTAATTAAGATATAATTGACATAAAACTTTGAATCAATTTCAGGTATACACATAATGATGCCATGTTTGTATGTATTATAAAATGATGATCACAATAAGTTTAGTTAACACCTATCACATACATAGAAATTTTTCTTGTGATAAGAAATGTTAAGATCTCACCACAAGAAAAATTGGAAAAGAAAGACTTTCAGTTATGCAAGGGAGTGTTTATTATTAATGATGGTCACGATACTGTACCATCATAGTATATAAATCTTATCCCTATGATTTATCCATGTTATAACCTGAATATTTGTACCTTTTAATCTCCTTCACACTATAACCTGAATATTTGTACCTTTTAATCTCCTTCACACTTTCTGCCCGCCCTCAGCTCCCCTCCTCTAGCACCCATTAGTCGGGTTCATTATTTATGATCTTGAGTTTTGCTTTTTTAAAAGATTCTAGTACAAGTCAGATAATGTGGTGTTTGTTTTTTGCTATCAGTTTCACTTAGACTAATGCCCTAGACATCCATTCATGCTGTGTTGCAGGTAGCAAGATTTCCATTTTTATGACTAAACAGTATTTTTTGTGTATATATGTGTGCCTGTGGGTCTAGATACACACACGCAAAATATGCTATATGATTAGAACATGGAAGAAGCAATATATATATATGCACATAAGCATATCATATGCATGTATATGTGTATTACATCCTCTTTTCCCTTAACCCTTTGAAAGCACACATGGTTCTTTTCATATCTGATCTATTTATGTATTGCCGTGCTGAACATGGGGGCGCATGTGACTTTTAGAATTAGTATTTTTGGTCACACTCCACTTCTTAGGCGAACCAGACAACCCCTTTTTCCCAGGTGTATAAAGGCTGTGGCTTCACAGCATCTAACTCACGGTCCAGCTCCTACTTGGCATGTTGGGGGGAGGGGGCAAGAAATGGAGGGACTTTGCCCTCAGGACGTCATGGGAGCCCCCAGAAGTCATGAGCCAGTGCTCTGGCAGTAGTGAGCTCCCAGGAGCTTCATTCGGGAGCGCCAGTCAGTCTCTGAAAGGCCAGTAGAAGTCCCTTGTAACGATTGTCTTGGACTCTACTGAGACTGCTGCTTTCATAGAAAATAGGGTAAGTATGAAATACATCGAGATGAATGAAAATGACACACCAAAACTTAAGGATGTAGCAGGAGGGGAGGTAACTCTAAATACTTAAAAGACCAAAAAAGACCTTCAAATTTAGGTTGTTGAAACCTAAACTGACAATTTGAGAAAATGCAAGAACAGATTAAACTTGAAGCTATAAAAAAAAAAAGGCAGGAATAAGGTTGGAGAGAAAGTACAGTGGGTATGGCATTTGGCCAAACTGGATATGATCCCCACATTTTATATGGTCCCCAAACACTGCCAGGACTAACCCCAGAGCATCGCTGGGTGGGGCCCAAAAATAAAAACCAAAAGAAGATAGGAAATAAAGATTAATGAAAGATTAATCAAAGATTAATTAGAAAGACAGTAGAGAAAAATCAATGAAACCAAAAGATGGTTCTCTAAAAAGATCAATGAAATTGCCCAACCTTTAGCTTTAAGAACTGAAGAAAAAGAAAATTTAAGTTACTAAAATCAGAATTGAAAATAATATCACTACTGATCTACAGACATGAAAATGATTGTAGGAGGATAATTGTATGCCAGCAAGTTGGATTACTGATAAGATGTATAAATTTCTGAAAATACAAAACCTGCCAAGACTAAATCAGGAAGAAATAGGAAATCTGAATTCACTTATAACTAGTCCAGAGATTCAGCAATTTAAAATCTCCCACTGAGGGACTGGAGATAGTACAGCAGGAAGGGCACTTACCTTGCTCATAGTTACCTCAGATTTGGTCCCCAGCACCCGATATGATCCCCCAAACCCTGCTAGGAATGACTCCTGAGTACAAAGTCAGAAGTAAGCCCTGAGCACCAATGATGTTTGGTTAAAAACAAAGCCAAACTATCTTAAAAAAATAAATTAAAATCTCTTAATGAAGAAAGGCTCTAGACCTAGTTTCACTAATGAGTTGTACCAACATTCAAAGACCCAATACCTTTTAAGTCAACATCTTTCACCACTTCTTTTTGAACTTAAAAAAAAAAAACCTGAAGACGTTAGATCATTTCTCTAACCCATGCTGTGACCCAAACACCTGCTGCTTGCTTTACTACCAAAGCCGTTTCTGGACTCTACAAGAAAAGGAGGCTATTGGCCAGTATCCATATGAACATTGACACAGAAATCCTCAACAAATACTAGTAAGTACTAATGAATTCAGCATGTCAAGAGGATTTCACACCACAAACAAGTAGGATGTATTCCCAGAATATACAAATATTGGTTAATGTAACATTTCCTTGAAAGAACAGAGGAAACTAACCATATACTCAGTGTGACTACATGATGCATGAAAAAACATTTGGCAAAATTCACCACCATTTTATGATTTTGAAAAACCCAACAAAAATAGGAGTAACCACTGTTCAATAAAAATCTTGTACATATCTCTATTCAAAAACAGATACATACATATGTGTATACACACACACACACACACACAGAGTGAAAACCCATATATGGAAAGACACAGCAGATATACTCATCGGTAAAAGCTTGGCGCTGGAGCATTAGTTCAGTAGACAAGGCTCTGGCATTGCATGTTGCCAACCCAGCATCAATCCCCAGAACCCCATATGGTCTCCTGGTCCTCAGGAGCTCAGAGCCAGGAATAACCCCTGAGCACAGTAGGATGTGCAGTCCCTCCACCACCAAAGAAAAGACGGAAAGCCTGTCCTCTAAATCAGGAACAGGCCAGAATGTCTCTTTTTACCACTCCTATTCAATGTCATACTGAAAATTCTAGCCAGCGCCATTAACAAAAAGCACCCAAATTGGAAAGGACGTAAAAGTATCCTGGTTAGCAAATTTTTTGATCTTTTTGGTAAAAGCCCTTAACCTCTTGATACTGACGTGTACCACCAGTCACTCACGTTTGAATATGGCTTAATTAACACAAATTCCAGCACCAGCATCAGTTT